TTAACCTTCGCCTGTGATAAAACCGCTGCCATTCTTCCACCATCCGTTTACCATTCGGTGTCAGACGTCCTGGTTTCCTCGGACACACCAGGCATTCCCAAACATATCCCAATATGGGATCCGGTTGCGGTTTGCAGTCAACACCTTCCCGTTGTACAGGCTTACAAGCACCTTGGTGGAATTGTTACCAGTGGGGCCTCCGCCGCCCCAGAGGTCCATTACCGCTACTCACAGAGTACTTGGACCCTGCGGCCGCTCAGGGGCCCTCTCTTCGGCAATGCCAGCATTCCGCTCGCGTTGCGCCGTTATCTGCTCGGAGCACTTGTTGGCTCCAAGTACAACTTTGGGTCTGCAACTCTGGAGTTACATGTCGCCGGGCATTGGCGACTGTGGGCCAGATTGTACACATCCATATGGAGGGCCCTTCGACCTCGAACTGAGATGTCCTCTAAGTTGCATTCCTACGAGGCACTGCACTTGGCCAATGCCACGACGCCTCCACTTGCCCTTGCCAAAGCCAGGGCGGGCCTCTATCTCCGGCTGATAAAACACGGCCCCGCCACACTCCTGCATTTGTTGTGGCTTCAGTGGGAGGCTTCGCCTGCCCGCTCATGGCTTAGTCAGCTGAAGGACGACTTGCGTCATGTTGGTTTGTACCAACCAGGCATTGGTCCCGTTCTAGCGACACCCACGCCTGTCGCCACTCTCTCCGATGCTATTGTTTCCGACCACACATGGTGGCGTCGGCAGATCAATGCCGCCATTCGCACTTGTGCTCAGGACTTGGCACGATGGGTTGCAACCAGACAGGAGCGTGATGCTCATGCCTCCGTGGTGCCCCCGGCACCAGATACCGTTCAGGAGTTCCCCTGCCCGTTTTGTGATGCCAGTTTCCCGCTGCGTAAACATTTAGGTGTGCATGTTGCAAGGCGTCACGGCCTGCCTGCTCCGGCACGCCTCTACGCTCCTCACCCCACATGCGTTACCTGCCTGCGGCACTTTCATACCGTGCCGAGACTCCAAGGACACCTTAAGGCCTCAAAGGGGTGCTTGGCTAGAGCCTGCGAGCTCTTGGACCCTATGAGTTTGGCGGAGGTGCGGGAAGCAGAAGCGGAGGACAAAGGTCGTCTTAAACGTGTTCGCCATGGTGAGTGGCATAAATACCAGACAGCCCCTCCGGCCCTGCCAACTCCCGGCCCACTCCAGCCGACCAGAGCGGAACTCCTGACTTACCTCGGTGATGACGCGCCCATCACACTGCTGCGTCGTTCGGACCCCGATCCGAAAATCCTCGCATGGGTACTTGCGGAGGTGCCCAAGAGCTCTGTTGAGCCTCCGCGTGCCGGCACATGCAGTTTCTGGACGCATCGCGTCGCCTAGGACAGCCATGTTTCACAGAATTCATTTGCATCTTGGATGCGTCCGTCGACTCTATCATCCGCCCAGAAAAAAATACTATTTTGGCGGTTCCCTACTATAACTATAGTATAATGGCCCCAAGACCTTATTCTAGTTATTGATGCCCCTACATTACAAATGTTAAGCACTCGCATTGTGGGCAATTTTGGTGCCAACTGCAACCTGGACACGCCGAGGGAGACGGCGAGGATGAAGCGCGTGCGCCGACCCATCTGCCCGCTGCCACCTGCGTCGGACCATTTCGGACTCACTTCGGGGCGTTGGTCTAGGGCAGCATCAAGGGCTGGTAGTTACCCCCTCGCAGTGCAGGAAGGCGGGAGCGGGTCTGTCGGTTGCCAAGTCACCCACGATGTTGATGCCCGAGACGAGCACGTTGGCAAAGAGGAAGGTGGTCATGCCACCCAGCACAGCATCGGGAATGGAGGCGATGGCGGCTCCGAACTTCCTGGCTGGTTCAAGTCGCTACCAAAGCAGGTGAGGCAGCAGGATAAGCATTGCAGGATCACGCAGCGCAGCATGAGCATGGGAGATGTTTGCATGCTGCGCCGAGTCTCTCGAAGCAGCCCAGCAGGATGAGCCAGAAGCAGCAGGCGATGCCCGCGGCCCGGGAAGCGCAGCGCGTGATGGCGATCACGCCGTTGTTCTGGGAGAAGGTCGTGTTGGGCGGACCTCTTGCAAGGACGGAAAGCGACGGTCCCATGAGTCCCACATTGTTGTAGAATTGCCAGCCGTTTCCCCTGCAGCTTTGGCGTCCGAGAGGCAAGTCATCAAGCAGGCCAGGAAGCTGTTCACGGCGTCGGCCAGCAGGCCGCCCTGGATACGGGAGTCGGCATCTGGGCCCTCGATGGGCAGGCCACTGACATCGCACGAGGCCTGCAAAGCATGGCAGTGTGTGGCAAGGTGTGGCACAGGCACTGCCTTCGCCTGGCCTGAATGTCACCGACCGTCTCCACCGCCGTGATCACGAAGCCCAGCAGCAGAGGGATGAAAGCTGGAGGGTAGAAGCCGATGTTGAAGGTGGTGGTCCTGCTTGCAGTGGCAACCAAGGGACTTACCATGAATCCTTATTATCCCCACTCTCTCGTCTGATGCCCGTCTGTGTAGATCACGCAGCTCCCAAACATGTCTACAGTCGACTTTAGGTGTATGCAGCGCGGCTGCAGTGTCAAGACACAGCCGCGGGGTGTGAAAGGGGCGGTCCAGAGGAAGGTGAAGACGCCGGCTTGCTCGATCTTGTCGCCGTTCACGTAGGGCAGAGAGGTGCCATCCTCTGCGGTGTAGGAGGAGACGCCCGCCACGAAGAAGCCGAAGAAGAGCGCCAA